GTAATTTCGATTTGGCATGCATTTGACAAACGACAAGCTGCAAATTTCACTTTGTTCTATTGAAATTCATTTGGGTTGTTTTTGGTTGACTTTCCTATTTGCCAGCCCAGTAGAAAAGGCGAGCGCCTATTGCATTCTTCGGTGGTTTGGTTTTTTCTTCGATACCTTGGCTTTAAAAACCCAATTTTGAGTAGTGGCCACAAACGGTAGGAGCAACGGTGGGGCATCAACCGCAAATGCAGCAACAACAGAGGCAATTTTCTAACGGCAATTTCTAACATTTACCTAGTTACCGTTAATAGACATGTTGGCCAAGTTAGTGAGAGCCGGCGACCAAGACATGAATAGGGTACTGACTAAAGCGATGAAAAAGAGGCGGCTAGAGAGCGGCAACTGCCACACAGTCAATGGCGTTCACTTCGCAGCTTTCTTTGCGCTCCGCTCGAGCACATCAGTTCGGCGATGACGACAAGCGAAGTATCTGGAAGTTGCAAGCATGCCACGTCTGCGGCTCTGCGCGTTGTATAGGTGTATAGGTGTATAGGTGTGCACCTCTTTGTTGGCTGTCATTGTGCCCGTTTTACTTGGCCACGCTCGCTGCCAGGGGCCGAGGAGGGGGGCAGCCAGATTCAAGGCGCAGTGTGTGGTTATTCCGCTACGTCGAAATGGTTTTTGGGTTGATCTCCCCGCCACCTGGCAACTGCCACCTGCCAGCCGATGTACTCCTGCAACTGATCAATAATTTGTGGTTTCACACTGGCAACAAGATAAGTAGTCATTCAGTCAGTCAGTTAAATGCAACATGTTGCAACATTTACCAATCAAGTTAATTGCATAAGAAACCACCGGCAAGTTTCAATATGCGCCTGCGATTTAGTTGTTGTTGTTGTTGCTGCCGCATATTTTACTGGCTGAGATTTTGGAAAATCACAATTTTCTATATACAACACATAACACAGCCGCTGTCGCGACATCTTCGTAGTACGTTTTCCACACTATTTAGCCAACCGATCGCTGACAGAAAGAAGCTCAAGCCAAATAGCCGCATGAGAGCAACTTATGCAAATAGTATCGGATTTGGCATTTCTGGTTATTGTTCACTTTTTCTTCCATGCTCGAAAATTTTCAATTTGCAGTCGGCTGTCGGTTGCATAATCCAGCTTTTGGCACATAACAATGCAAAAACCTCAGTGGCTAATTACAGCGGTTGCATAAACTATCCAACAACTGTTGTACGTACATAAATACATTTGTTTGCAAATTAATGCCAAACAATGTGCTCAAGAGGGCATATAATCAGTTCTCCAAATTAGTCAAAGTAAACACACACACACATACAACAACTCCATATTAATCCTGACATTTCATATATAACTCAAAGATCTATTCTATTCTATTACGCCAATTGAGACGAAATAAGTATATAGTTATAAGTATTAGTATATCATCATGGCCAGCAAATTTATGATGGAATGTGAACAACTTAGTTCAATGAACAGAGAAAAGTCTTTTACATATCGCAGCTTCCGCACTTTAACACTTTTACTTGTTATTACAAGAGTTGATAAGCATTTCCACACTTTTTATCTCTAACATGGACATAACAAAAGTGCTTGAGTCGGGCATATGTATATGTCTAAGAAGTAAGACTTCAAACTTCAGTTAATACAATTTTACAAAAAATGAAAATCTCTTTAACCAAAATGGATGCATATCGATTTTATGGTAAGGAGAGCTGATATCGCAAACAAATAAGATCGTATTCATGTGTTTGTGGAAACAGTAGCTCATAACAGACTTTGATATGTACATTCTTTAAAGGATATTTCATGTCAAGGCCCAATTATCGAAGTATTATGTGCTCTGATTGTTATGCATTTCAATTGCCCTAACGCTCTAAGAATCCGATTTCTTATCTACGCAAGTCTGTTGGCTGTCAAAGTTTGCAATTGGTCAGGAAAACTAATGTGTCGACATGCCGAATGGCAAATGATAAATAAAGCGAATATCCGAGCCATTGTTGTCTTCTTCGTAGAAATATGCAATTTCATACATTTTAATGCTGAAAGCTGAAATTGCGGCTTGCCACCCCTTTGTCTTGCCACATGTGCGCGTGCCAAGGAAACTCTAGTAACGATATAAATTATGGCATTTTTTTTTTTTTAAGTTTGGCGAGAACAGCGACAGCCAACGGATACGAAAGCTAAGCCACACAGTGTCGAGGCCATTAAATCTAAAATGTAATTTGATTGTTGTCGACAATAAAAACTTATCTCATAAATGTAGCAATTATTCTGAAGACGGGCAAGGAAGAAAAGGTTGACGGTGTGAATAGAAGAATAGAAATGCAATAGAGGTAACTTTAAAATGGTTATTTTCACATCATAATCAAAACACCTCTTTAAATTGCATAGGATATATACGCATTCCTGATATCAAGGTTCTGCATCGTATCAGTATCATTTCAAGATGAAGATTAATAATTATATTCAAGCGACACTTCTTCATAATTACATACAAGATATGCGTTTTTTTCTCTTTTACTTTTAATGATGAGAAACATTGTAAAATCTGGACACGCAATCCGAATAAATGTGCCATTAGGAGTGCGTGATGTTTGTATTAATATAAGAACCTCAATTGGATATTATATGTCTAAAATACATGCATGTACAAGATAATCACTTAGAAAAGTCGCCGAGGTTAAGTCAAACTAACTACATTAAACTTTTCGTTGTGCCGGATTTTTGTTCAAGGCATAGACTCCTATGCTGATTGTTTTATAATAGTTTAGACAAGGTGGGAATATGTTTTCAAAACTGTGTGTTACATATTGAAATGTGACAAATGTTTTATATTTCATCTAATATTTATAAGAATCATTTTCAAAAATTGATTGTAGCCATGTTTCACACTTTATGTGTAATGGAAATTTATGTGTTTCATTTTTTCCCATTGGCGACGGCGGAAATGTGTTACTAAAAAGAAAATAAAAACCCTTGCCCGCGCAATACCTTCTTGATTATCCTGTGTGTTTTGTAATATATCGTTAAAATCAAACTTAAGATTGGGAATCGGGCTGGTCCAAAGCAATGTTGCTAACGGTTTTTTTTTTTGAGCCCATTCGCTTGGGATGCTTTAATGGCGGCGCCTTTGCTCACACACACACACACACACAAACACACACACACTCGTCTATAAGTATATGTATTTGTGTTGTCGGCTTGACAACAGTAAAAAAAAGAACGGAACTGCTGCCTCGGTTGCTTGCCATTTTGTGTCCCGCCTAACGCACGATGCCCGCCCTAACCCCCCTGCCTCTTAGAACAATGAGCCTGGGCCAAGTCGGTGCCAGAACGGACATTCCAACAACAATGACTAAAAATTTCGGTAGCTGTTGCCAAGAAAAAATGCCAGCAACATCGAAGGCTGGAGCGGAAGAGATTTGACAGCATACGCAACATGGCCGAAAAATGAGTGGCGACCGACCAAAGCAATGGAGGCGCATCATCGGGCGCACATGTCGTATGCGTGACGAGACGAGGCAGTCAAAGCGAGGGGCCGGACTCAGCAGTCAGCAGCCAGCAGCCAACAGTCGTCAGTCGACAGTCGGCGGCATAAACGCCCCGAACAGATTTCATAGTTTTTATCGATTTAAGTGGATTCGGCCTAACATGCAAACAGACAGAGCCTGTATGTATCCACACACACACACACACACACAAACATGGAAAAGTAAGTGTATGAGACTAACATACGAACACAAACAGCCCTGATTTTTGGCAAGCGTCCTGGTAGAAATGAATAAGCATAAAGCAGGCAGAAGAAGTCAACTTCGAATCATTGCAACATTTTCAATGCGAAGCAGATCAGTTGACCGACTTATAGCTTTATTTACTCTGTGAATTGACAATCCCTGTTGTGATCAGGAAACTATATATCTATATAGAGAGAGTATCTGCACAGTTGATGTACTGTGTGTGCACTGGCAGCATCTATCTCTGTCTAAATCTTGGCAAGCGCCACGCACATGCATGCGTAAATGTGAGAAGGAGAAATGAGCTTGAGTCGGCATGAGGAAGTTGCGACAACAGAAATCAAAATTCAAAGTTCTATGTATAGAGAGTTGAGCTTGCCCCATGCTTTGCTTAACTTTCCAGAACATGCAAAGAGGAAGTCTGCCCCCTCCCTCCACCGTACCCACCACGACCCCTCTACACACTCATTCCCCTTGTCGCATGTTACGCCGCAGTCGCTTAGTAAATGCGCAATAATTATGCCACATCTTGATCGGGGCTCCACGAGCAGGAAAAACAAGAGTGCTCTTGTCGAGAGTCGTCGACTATCAGATACCCTGTAGCAGGCCTTGAGCTGCTAATACAACGGACTAAGCATCTATAAGCAATGCTCTGCATGTTAAGGAATAGTAATAATTATGTGTTATGTACATGACAAATGTGATTAGATGCAAGCAGTTTCATAGAGAACTCGACATATTGGCCTATTGCTTAGGAATCATATCACAGTTCATATATCAAATTAGTAAGTACGATGCGGCTCCCAATTTCAGTTCTAAATCGTGGTGTACATGGCCAATTAACTTATCTGTAATTGCTGCGAGTTATATCGCATTTGTATAGAAAGCCAGAAAGTTCTTGTGTAGAAACAATCAAATTCGCTTACCTTTCGAAAATTAAGTTTAGTAATATTTTTGGTTTGCTATAATTGCATACACTGTTCACAAACTGTACGGGAGTATATTCAATTTTTGGCTACGCACTTGCTTTTTTGCATGTGCATGTCACGCATGTCAAACAATATGTGATTATATGCATTTCGATAGTTCTTTAGATTGGATTTTTGATATTAAAATGAAAAGCTTATTGGAACTGACAACTTTTCCAACAAGGTCTATATTTAAGGCAGATCTCTCTAATAAGAGCTACATATTCGGATTGTTCGATGTTGATATGCGATTGATCTAAAATATCTACAATAAATTCTTGCATAAAAATAAAAATTTATTTTATTCATAAATTATCATATTGTGTCTTGTTAGTTGGAATTGCTTTCATTCTCTTCTCAACTTTTGTTGTTTATGGAAAATGACTTTGACATGAGCACTACTTCTTTGGTTTTTTTGGCGTCTTTGTCGGTAAGCTCGTCACATTAACAGCCGTCTTATCGTTTAAATTATTGTAGTTAAAGGATTTGAGCATTGGCATGCCTTTCTTATAGTGGTGGCCTTTGCCAAAGTAGCCCGTGGAGCCAATTGAGCCGTCATGTCCAACCGAATATAAGCTGTGCACCGAATAGTGCTTATTTGCGTTTTGGTATTGTATCTCAAGAGTTTTACGCCTATAACGATGCACCTTGGCGCGGCCCACAGTTGTACCCTCGAGCACGCGTTCCTGTGCCGGATGCCGGCGGACCCAAGTCCACGGTTTCGAATCATCAAACGGTTCATGCATCAATACGGGCAGCATTAGACCCATTATACGGCGATTGTCTTTTCCCATGTAACGACGAGATTTGGGTTGTTTGGTTGGTTTCTTGCCCTTAGATGCCAGTTGGCCGGGGCGTTTGTTCTCCACAACACTTGAGTACAAATCGGAAATTTCGTTCATGCTTTGCCTATTGCGACGACGACGTTCAGAATCATCATCGCCGTTACCCGATCCTTTCCCCTTATTGCCGCCCTTGCCATCTTTGCCACCGCTGCCATCTTTGCCATCCTTGCCATCTTTGCCATCTTTGCCACCGGTGCCACCTTTGCCATCTTTGCTGCCGCTGCCATCTTTGTCACCTTTGCCAGCGATGACACTGTCGCCAGATCTGCCACCTCTGACGGCTTGGCCATCTTTGCCATCCATATCCTGTTTAGAATCATCAAATCCACAGCCAAATGTTGATTCGGCCATAAACTGATTGAAGGCCGCTGCTTGGCCCGCTGTCATACTACCTCTATCAAAAAAGTTTTTGCACGTCCCCCCCCTGCGATCAAAAATGTCACCTTCCGACTTTCGACGCGGCTGTATAGCTTCCCCGCACGGCATATTCAGAAAGTAGTATAGAATCGTTACCAATAAATGACGAATATACGGATGCAAGGGATTGCGTAGATTGCCGTCAACATCGAAAATCCCATCATAGAGCGCACACGTGTCGGGCCGTACGAAAGGTACCCGATAATAGTTCCACTGGGAGCATTTCGGATTAAGAATTTGGCCAAACTTCCGCATAGTAAGCGTGAAAATGAAGCGGCACACTTGGTGCAATGGCTTCATCAGTATTGTGGCCAGCTCTCTTAATACGCTCCCATTGTGTAGACACCAACGCCTTTCCTCCGAATGCCAGTGTAGACTGAGTTGTCTGCATTTAAGTATGGGCTGCGTTTCCTCTTCGCAGCTCAGCAGACGCAGCGTTCTACTGTACGGCAGACGGCAGGAGGGTGCGCAAAACATTGACAAAAATTAGAAATTTAAAAACTGGATGTGTGCTTAAAAAGTTTTATTTGAAAACAGAAACCCTTGGATACCTAGGACCAGTATTATTGACTCGGTTATGTTTACTATTTCTGACACGCCTGCTAGTAGACGAAAATACACGTCGATACTCTGGTTTCTTATGTAGCCTCGTTATCGATTCTACAGCAGGCTCCACCGGCGGGCTATTTATGCTGTGTATGGACCATCGATTACGGGCTAACTGGAGTGCCTTCATTACTGATTCCCGTCTGTAGCGTCTTACACGGGCCATGCCCACTTGCCCGTCCTCCTGCATGCGTAGCTGGTCCGGGTGACGACGCAACCAGGTGGTTCTCTTATTGGTGTCGTACGGTTCGTGAAACAGCACGGGCAGAGATTCGCCGTAGTATCTACGTTCTCTTACCGTTTGTTGTTGTACATTCGTTTGTGCCGGCTGTGACTCTGGCCGATGCTCCTGTTTTCTTGCCTTTAGACCTTGAACTGTATGCCGATGCTTGTGCTCATCGCTCACTATGGCCGAATAGAAGTTGGATATATGTTGAGCTGCTTGCACGCGTTTTAAATGCTTTGAATGGGATTCATTTAGGTCCGTTTTGGCCAGGGCGTCAAGAAATCGACTCGGATCCTCATCTTTCAAGTTCTTTCGCAGCATTTTATGCAATATAAGTTTTTGATGCAAACGCAAGCTGTCTAGCTGATTGCTGCCTTGGCCCCGACGTCGACCCTTCTTATCTACCAACAACAAATCGGAATCGTGCAAGCTAATTGTGGCCCGTCTCACATCGGCAGTCTCAATCTTAATATGATATGGATGATCTATTGGTTTATTGGAAGCGTGACTTTGGTTTAGGATTGGGTGTACATCGGGCTTAGCATACATATCGAATTGGCGCAGTTCGTGGCTCTTTTTTATATGCATGTAATCGAGGTCTATATTTTTGAGAGATTTGTTAGTTGCATTCCCATGAGCTCCGTTGGCAATACGGATCGTGGCCAAATTATAAATGGGTCTTGACTCAGCAACATCGGCAATATCTGACGTTGAAATGCTCTTGATTACTTGAAGTAGCCTAAACAGACTTCTGGGATGTGTTGGATCACGCAGGTTACCTTCTAAATCAAAAATGGACATGTAACGCTCACAAATGTCCCCGCGAGAAAACGGTATGCGACAATGGTTCCAGCCCTTGCCCCTTGGATTCAAAATATCGCTATAGTTCTGCAGCGTGAAATCATACATTAACTCGGCTATCTTATGTATGGGCTTATCCAATTTAGATGCCAGATCACTGAATACTTTAATGTCACGTCCATACCACAAGTCCCAATCGGTAATCCGCGCCTTTCGACACCATTTACATGGCGTATGAAGCTTATGAAACCCATCCATCGGGCGACATAGTTGATTTCGCGCTGAACTGGGACATGCACATCTCACAGCACAAGGGCATGTATGGACCCTTCTCCTGGAGCACATATTATCCCAGTGCTATAATTTTAGCAGGCTTCCAATAACATTAAAATTTCGAATTGATGTTTCGGGCAATGGTTACTCTAATGCGAGTTGACCCGTGCATATAGCTTTAAATAATTTTACGACTTCAATTGGGAAACCACAAAACGTGAACTCAGTTGCTTCAAACAAAAATGTAACAAAATACATTCATCTAAACTCACTTTTTATCTTATAAAATTCTAGCAAAAATTAGTTTTGAAAAGTTTTAGTATCTTTAGTCAAACTTTATGCAAATTTTCAAGGTTCTTATTTGGCAAGCTTATTTTTTGCGCCAAAAGAACAAATCCGCAAATCTAAAGTGCAAATTTTGTTCCAGCTTTGTAGATGCCGATCTTTATGGGTTTGGAGATAACTGGTTCTGCGCGTTTCAAACATTTGCGCAAAACCATTCTACAAGCCACATTTACAATTAAACATAATAATCATTGTAAGCCAATTCTACTTCAAAGTTGCAAAACTACCTAATAATTTATTTGAATCACCCCAAAATAATGTTTATATCTGGGAAAAACTAATTTTGTTGATAGTTTCTCAACATTTCCTCAAAACCGATATAAAAAAAAGCATTTTCAGCGTTGATTCGTTGAGTATATATCCCGAAATATAGATGCGAAATTTTTCCCAGTAAATAAAAAAATACTCAGAATGTTGAGACTGGGCTACTTTTTGCATTACCCAACACTATTTATTGAAAAGATGATTAATGATTGATTTAAATTCTTAATGCCGACAAGTCCTATATGTGACTCCGGGATATGCTTAAATAGACCTATTTAAACTATATAAATCAACAAGCTTTTGCACATAAACATTATAATATTAGATCAGATTAGAGCAGAAACTTCATCCAACATCTATAAATATATCGATAATATAAAAGATTTGTCAAAAATAAACTTATTGTATTTTTTAGAAAATAACGATCAATAATGGTTTTCGTATAGAGAACTTTCCTGGGTTTTCAGGTATATTAGCCAAACATTGCAATTTCGGAGAATATTTCTAGAATATAAAAATATTCACAACGAGAAATACTTCATTTTGGTGTCTAGGTCTCTCTAAAAAAGCCCAAAATCGAACATTATCTATTTTGGGTAAAGAACGAATAGAGTTCTGGAGAGATAGAAATAAAGTTGTATATGCAAGAACAACTATTGAGTACCCTTTCCTAGTTGGGCGTACTGTCTTATCAATGTGACAGAGCCGGCTAGAGGGTATCTTTTAGGCGAGCACATGCGAGTGTAGCACTCTTACTTGTTACCTTTTTTGTTTGAAGCATGAAAACAAATTTATTCATATTAATTTTGTACACTCAACGGCCGATGAGTCAAAAGAAAATTAACCAAAAGTGAAGAACCGCAAGCAGCACACACAAGCATAAACATAAACACAAACACGAGCACAAATACACTTACATACATAAAAAAAAAAGCATGAAGGCAATGACGATTGAAGTGGCCAGCGCAGCGCAGATGGAAAAGTCAATAACCCCAGGGCTGACAACATCAACGTCATCTCGTACCAATCCATTACGTGTCGCTTGGCTTTTGCGCTGTGTAATTTCTGTTTTTGATTTCGAGCCTAAACAAACACGCAACTTTCTGTGCTTCAAGTCTGATTCTGTCCGTTCTGGCTGGACTGTAGTTTGCCGAGAGAGTATGCGCGATCTATGGTTGTGTTTGCTGCCCAAATCCGAGCAAATATTGGCTAGAATTGCGCTGCAAAAAAAAACCCAAGTGCAGGGCATCGCAAACGCTGTAAAACTCTAAATACTGGCTACAGTATACGCTGGCTACGCTGGAAATCGTCTCAAACAGAGCGTAAAACAATAATTACAAAATTGCATGTATTTTGTTATCATGAACAAAAACAATCAATTTGACGAGCCAAGCCCCCGCCCTGCCCCTTCCCATACCCCTACCCAGAACCGTCGTCTAAATCTGAGCGTAGATAAAAGCCTACACGAAAGCCTTGACAACTTGTGTGACCACATTTGTGGATGCGGCAGAGTGGGGTAACATGAAGGGCACACAAAACCGAATTATTTTTATGGCTAGAGATGGATTGATGCGAAGTCCGCATTCGTATGTGAATTTGCCAGTATATAAATTAGCTATTTGTCATTTCATTTGTAATCCGATTTTGTGGCCAAATTCAGTTTCTGTGGGAATTTTTGGTAAGAGTCAACGCGAGCTACGAAAGAGTTGGGAAAGTATTCTCGAACAACGATCACATTCTATGATATTATTGCTCGATTAATGGAGTGAAGGTTTTCAACATCAATATATATATATGTCTGTCTAATTAAATTCTTGTTTTAGTTAATTTTTGTTCCGTTTCATCTTATTATGTATTCAAAGTTGAAGAGTTGGGTGAGAGTAGCAAACGCAAACGCCGACTTGTACAAGTTTTGGAATAATTAATTTATTAATTTTGTGTACTTACAATTCGTGAATGGTTTAAGTCTTGATATAATCCTCAAGGCATATATGTAAATATTTCTTTAATATTTGTTATTTATTTAAGTTAATTATATTGTTGTTGTTGTTTTGTTGGTTTGGGAAAATGTTTAAAAACGTTTATGTATGTAAATATGTTTCAAAAAATTGCACGTTTGTTTGTTTATTTAACGTTGTTGTATTGTTGATCTTTATTTATATATTCAAGAATTAGCTAAAAATTGTTTTAATCGCTTTAACAAAACAATGAACACAGCGGCGATATTTACAACATTTTTGTTGTTATTGTTGCATTTTTATTGCACTTATTGATTGCACTTTTGATTTTTGGCCTTATATGAATTTGATGAACTTATGGCTCGATATCTATATATCAATATATATATATGTACATATGTTGTTTATGTGTGTGTGTACGTGTACATGTTAGCTGCGTTGAAATATTCTGTTCGCTGGTAAAAGTAAATCGAAGAAAATGAAACAATTAATCTTTATATAACCTCAATGTTGCCACCGCGATAAATTCAATAAACAAAAGAAGACAAAAATTGTCTCGAACGCTTTCCATGCTTCTTGGGCTCAATTTTCTATTTCACTCAGCCTGTTTATGTGTATCGCATGCTCGCTCTCTCTCTCTCTCTCTCTCTCTCTCGCTCTCTCTCACACACACAATCACACGCGCGCAAACACATGCACGCACGCAAGCAAGCAAACACACACTCTCACTTTAATAAATATGTGTGTATGTACATGCACACACACATACACATATATATTATCAGATTCAGACACAGCGAAATTCCGCTACACCGGATATAACAATTGAAAAGAGCGGATTCGTTTTTTGAAATCAAAATCAACACAAAAATAATATACATGAATATAATAATAAAAAAATAAATAAATAAATAAATAAATAAAAAAATTGTATTTGTCGCGGCTGTGAAAACATTTGCTGTTCATACACTTAAGCGAGATAAAACCGAATACGCTAAAATCTATGCACAAAGAGCAGGATGCGAGCTAATAACAATAACAACTTGAATTCTCGATTAATTTTCTTTTCTTTTTGCCCTGAACATGTTTTGCATTTGATTTGATTGATATTCATATTTAATTATGCGAATTGTGCGTTTGGCGTTACGACGTTTCATTTTCTTCGCGCACTCACTTGAATTGCTTTAACTTTGCAACAACAAATCGCCTATTTGCAGTATGCCCAATGCCAGTTGTTGTTGTTGCTTCAGTTTTTTTTTATTTTATTGTGTGTGGCTGTAGCTGTGCCTGTGGCTGTGACTGTGGCTGTGGCAGTGGCAGAGTGAAAACATCGAACACGACGCGCTGCTGCCTCCGTTGCTGGAAACTCTGCCAAACCGTACAGTTTGAAAGTTAATGTCGGACTGTTCGGAATGCTGGCGCTGTTCCCTCGAACAGTCACGAAACGTGCCGACGCTGCCAGCAGCGGCGATGTTGCATGGAACGCTCGTGTTGGAACGCGCCCAGTCCGAAATAATTTCAAACGACTGGAATCGAAACTGGAAGCCGAGCCGAAGTCAAAGTCGTTGTTGAGTCGCCCGCATAACCAGTGTGTGGCCGGTCCGCACAGCTGAGCGCCATTTACTACTGCAATCAACCGTTAGATACATATTTATCTAAAAGATAGGCCGCACGTACATACGTACACACACAAACACATGCACATGCATACGTCAAAAAGCGACGAGCGGCCGCGTTGTCATCGTAGTAAAAGCAAAACCGGTAAAGACAGCCGCAACGCTGCATTTTGTGTGGGCGAAGAGAGCAGGTCGAAGAGAGAGCCAGCCGCAACAAAAGAGTACAAGAGAAAATCTGTTGCACTTCAACTGCAACTCGTATTGGGGTTGCAGTTGGCCTGACGCTGATATTAACATACTCAAGAATGCCACGAACGCAACCTATTCGTCATCTGATCATGTTTGAACATTTGCCCAACGAACACTCGAACAAATGAATTGAAACTTTGTTAATATTGAGCCATGGCGAAATCAGTTAATCCAATTACAATGCAATAAGTGCAAGTGCCTGAAAATAATTGTTTACAAACTCCCTTGCTAAATCGCCCGTTAGAGCGACAATAATAGAAACCAAAAGTCAGATTTCCACATCATGTTGCTAACAGATAACCCCCAAAGGTCAGAAACCGAATTTCTGAGAATGGTGCCGTCGACTTTATCAATTATAACTACACCAACGAGAAATCCAGCCTGGCGATAGCATTTGAACTTTAGACTGTAAAGCTTAGAGGTACAATTTTGAATGGATGCCACTAAATAAGACAAAGAAGAAGAAGAAGACGCAGAAGAAGAAGAAGAAGAAGAAGCGGCCCAAGCGAACAGACATGCGACTCGCTTTACGAAGATTGCCCGACTAGAAGCCCAGCTCCGACCTGCCGTAACACACATACATGTGTATGTACACGTGCATGTGTGTGTGTGTGTGTGTGTGTGTGTGTGTATATGCATTCGACCTTCCTGCTATACATACCCTTCACTACTCGTAAGTAGTTCATAAGGCACAAAGCGGTTCCTGCTCGACAGCCTCGAGTGCAGCTCGCTCGCGAGCTTAACATGGCGATCTCTGCTTTTGTCCGTGTTTACCTGGGCATTATTACCTTGCGCCAGCGTATGTCTGCGTGAGAAGAACCAGTTTTTCGCTTGCAACTTCGTATTTTTGTAGCTTTCAGCTCTTACTGTTTGCTAATCAGAATTGTGTACATACATATATATAGATATGGAGAATTACAAAGAATTCAACAATTGCAGATAGCCAAATAATGTGCAGATATCAACTCAAAGATTTAGATTAACCAAGCCTAGACTATATTTATTTTATCTAACCGACTCAACAGGTGTAACAATAGGATATCTCGCATAAGATATCTCTACACCAAGTCCAATTTGATGCCTTCATATTATTATAAGCTGTCTTATTTATATATTTATTTTCACCCGGAATAGTTCAAATGAAATCACAAAAAAATTAATCATCCCAGCTTTCTGTATGTCAATATGTCAGTCATTGAGTCAAGGCGAAAAGTTTTGTTTATACAGATGTGGGTTGACACAGAAATTCTAATTAGAGAACGGAAGAAGCATGTTTATGCTTATTTCGTTAAATGAAATAGGGTATATTGATTGCGTGCAATTTCTGTATAATTATAAGTTCATTATTTTGCTGTCGAAATAAATTTCGTATGTTTGGAAGTTGGCAGTCTCCAAATGAGATGGACTAGCGATTACAGGGTATATACCTGACTAGACTAACAATAGCTCAATGTGTTTACCATCGAATAAATTGAAAACTTTTGGGGCAATAGAAAATTTGAAAAATCATGAATGCTTGTGAACGCTTTGCTGTGCGACTAACAAAGATGCAAACTGAATGAATAGTGTATTTGGTGGCAGCATGACTGCAGCATCGCCATAATCACTGTGATGATTATGATGTTAAAGTTGCCCCAGCCGGCTTGACTGGCTTTTGTGGCAAACCCGACAACCCCGGACTGGGACACTCTAATATAATTTACGACACTGTAAATGACTACGACGGCATAAGCCCTGCAGTCGAGCCGGCATACTCTTCGCAAACTGCAAAGTATCTCTGGCCCAAAAGTATCTCTGATACTGTAGTGCCCGTCTCCAAGTCGTTCCTCATCTCAACTCCTCTTCACTCCACGCTTCGCATCAATAGCTAGCTGGTCGCTTGGTGTGGGAAAGAATGCAATAAAGGGAATTTCCAAGACTTGGCAGCCTCGCACATAATGTATCTTTGTATCTCTTTTAAATACTGAGCCAAACGTTGCTTGGCGCATTGACAATGTGCAAATTGTAGAATGCTTTGCGTCCGAGACACAAATATCTAGACAATGTGTGTGCGTTTCTGCACGAACCGAGAGCCCAAAAATATTTGTCAATTAATCAAAACCTGCAAATGATTTCAGTTTTTCAGCGGCGCGCTGCTCTGTCCCACAGATACATTTGAATATTGCTGCCACATTTGTAACATTCGTTGCGTAAATCAATATTCAAACTACGCCCGCGCCCAAGCCAAATACATCCTGTTTCTTACATACCCAATCAACTGCAACAACAGTTCCACGCGTGATTTCTCTTTCCATGCAAACTAGTCTCCTTACGGGTTTCTACTCAACATTTATTTTCCGTCTATTAATTTACAAAAAACAAATAAATGTGCACAAAGATCTTGAAAAATTGGTCTGAAGTCGTTCACAGGACAATCCAAAACTTTTTCATAGTATTCCGCCAATTTTCCACACATGTGGGTGGAATTTCAAAAAACCCCTTTTTATACCCTGAGCCCTGATCATCACGATTTTTTTCAAAATCGAGGTCGGTGCGAAAATCGAAACTTTTTCGATGATTTTTCCGCGCGGAGATATGACGTTCCAAAACGACATAACTCCGCGCGGAGATATGACGTTCCAAAACGACATAACTCCGCGCGGACATATGACGTTCCAAAACGACATAGCTCCCCGCGAATATGATATGACCTTCCAAATCATCACGATTTTTTTCAAAATCGAAGTCGGTGCGAAAATCGAAACTTTTTCGATGGAGATATGACGTTCCAAAACGACATAGCTCCGCGCGGAGATATGACGTTCCAAAACGACATAACTTCGCGCGGAGATATGACGTTCCAAAACGACATAGCTCCGCGCGGAGATAATACGTTCCAAAACGACATAACTCCGCGCGGAGATATGACGTTCCAAAACGACATAACTCCGCGCGGAGATATGAGCTTCCTAATCATCACGATTTTTTCCAAAATCGGGGTCGGTGCGAAAATCGAAACTTTTTCGATGGAGATATGACGTTCCAAAACGACATAACTCCCCGCGGATATGATATGACCTTCCAAATCATCACTTTTTTTTCAATATCGAGGTCGGTGCGAAAATCGAAACTTTTTCGATGGAGATATGACGTTCCAAAACGACATAACTCCGCGCGGAGATCACGATTTTTTTTTAAAATCGGGGTCGGTGCGAAAATGGAAACTTTTTCGATGGAGATATGACGTTCCAAAACGACATAGCTCCGCGCGGAGATATGACGTTCCAAAACGACATAGCTCCGCGCGGAGATATGACCTTCCAAATCATCACGATTTTTTTTTTAAAATCGGGGTCGGTGCGAAAATCGAAACTTTTTCGATGGAGATATGACGTTCCAAAACGACATAACTCCGCGCGGAGATATGACGTTCCAAAACGACATAACTCCGCGCGGAGATATGACGTTCCAAAACGACATAACTCCGCGCGGAGATATGAGCTTCCTAATCATCACGATTTTTTCCAAAATCGGGGTCGGTGCGAAAATGGAAACTTTTTCGATGGAGATATGACGTTCCAAAACGACATAGCTCCGCGCGGAGATATGACGTTCCAAAACGACATAGCTCCGCGCGGAGATATGACCTTCCAAATCATCACGATTTTTTTTTTAAAATCGGGGTCGGTGCGAAAATCGAAACTTTTTCGATGGAGATATGACGTTCCAAAACGACATAACTCCGCGCGGAGATATGACGTTCCAAAACGACATAGCTCCCCGCGAATATAATATGACCTTCCAAATCATCACGATTTTTTTCAAAATCGTGGTCGGTGCGAAAATCGAAACTTTTTCGATGATTTTTGCTTAATATCTTGGGTAAATAATGTCTGATTTTAAAATGTTATACCTTTTTGAATGCGTTCGGATCCCTACCATCAATTGGCATTCAAACAAATTAATCATCGATAGGTTGAAAAATGTTGTTGACAATAAACCGATTCGTTCGTAAATTGAACCTTTTTGATGATTTTTTGGGATATTTCCGTCAAATAATGTCCGATTTTGCAATTTCAACCATTTTATTATATTATTAATATTGCACATAAAAACACACATAGAACTTGCAACAATAGTCATTGAACTTATCTTAATTATTGCCAATTATAATTGAGCAGCTAATTAGATAAAGCCACTTCCAACTGCGAACAATGCACAAATAAGTTCTCTATGAAAAATTGTTTGCTCAGAGTAAAGTATTTATTATGGGTGCTTTCTATGGTGCACTCGCGATCAGCTAAGAATCTGGGAAGGGAACAATTTTTGTCACAACTTATGTAACCAAGCGAAATCGGACTCTAGCGAAACCCAACCTCAATAATCGCGGCACTGTGGCACGGTGGCACGGTGGCACGGTGGGGCAAGAAATGGAAATGCAGCACTCAAAATAAATCGCGGCCAATGGACTTTGGCCCAGCTTAGCTGCCCCAGCGACTTCGTTGTCAGCCACAAGTCATGCGAACAGGCGACAGTCGCTTTGCAAACTTTTCAAATTGCCAGCTAGCAATCGCCCGCTTCCCAATGCCGCTCCCCAATCCCGCTCCTGGCTGGCGAAGTGGCCACATTTTTGCAGTTGTCGAGTGGCGATTGCAACTTTTTCTGAATGCTGTCGGGATGGGTGAAAACAAACTGTAGCTAAACTTTAATCTAAATCTGGCCAGCCGGACTGAGCCGGGCGAACTAACTGCGAAGACAAACGAGAAGCGGTCCACAGTCCTCTCCCGATGTTGGCGCTGGACTCGTTAGCTTCCCTGCTGGAGATTGTGGGGTGGCATTTAAAGGCCATTTCAGTTCATTTCACGAAGGTTACATCTGTCCGATGCATTTGGTCTTCTCCATTTGGCATACATTACCAAGCTTTGACGACGCACAGTGGGCATATTTCGAAGTTTTTAATACAAAAAGATAAATTGATGCCATAAAGCTTTCGCCAAAGAAATAAATAATTGTTAAGTTATCGAATTATTGTTTCAGATACAGTTTTATTTGAAACTTATTAAATTTAAGAGTCAAGAACTTTCAGTTAAAAAAGAATTTATAAATAAAACTTGGTCTGATCTTGTCATTTTGTTGCAGCACAAAAGAAGAGCCAGCGTCGAGTACAGGGTATCTGCTTGCTTTTATTGTAGTTTGTATAAATCGTTAGATTTGCGAAACTGAAAAGCGCCAATCAGCACCGAATTTCCCAGCCGCCTGGAAAATTATACGTCAAAAGAAAAACCACAAAAAAAAAAAGAAAGCCACACAGAGTATAGAAAAATCAAACAAGTGACTGAGCAGTGCGGGTGGCTGATGAATGACACACGGAAGCAAGTGCTTGAGACTTGAGGAAAGCCGCAAATTAGCAGTTGGAGTCACAGATACTCGCACCTTAAAGACGACGTTGGAGACGGAGACGGAGAGGGCGATGGAGACGAAGGCGGAGACTAAAGCGACTGCTGCTGTTCACGGATCAGGCTCGGCGGATGACGACGAGCACAATGTTAGCAGAGCAAAAAGTATTAAAGGAGAAAGTGCGCATATCAGAGCCAATGTTTTACAGTCCAACAATTATAACAACAGTCAAAACAAGTAAGAGTGCTCTCCAGCGCTGCCCGACTAATAAATACCCTGCAATCAGCTACGCAATAGCATAACATTAACTTATGTAATCTGAGATGTTTTTCCTTTACTGCAACTCTAGGAAAAACTGATTCATAAATAACTTCTGTGCTTATTTTGAATAAAACTTAGTTGGAAAACTTAAAATGTAAGCCATAGGAAAAGGTATTGGTAAGTTGGTAATACCCTAAATCAACTCCAAGTACAAAGTAAATTGTATTTTCTATACAGTCGGTTCTTGAGTTTTTAAAATTGAGCATACCCGATTGCCGCATGTGTAATGGGTACAACGGGTACAAAACGAACGAAATGAAGAAAATGTTGACTACCCGCAATGGAGCGGAGCGTAGAAGTTGACGGCGACATACAAGAAAATATAAGCAAAACAGGAACGTGTATAAATATGGCTAAATCCGCCTTGGGCCACATACAAAGAGAGTGCAACTGGCAACTGGGAGCCGATGCTCATCAGGTATAAATACAACCTAAACGGAGGCCAATCAGGCTATGAATCCGATGCAGCTGTAGCTGCATCTGGAGAGAAGCCAGAGACGAATCACAAAACAAAAAAAAGGCGTAAAGCCTCCTCGACACCGAGTTGAATGACCATCAATCGAAGGGATCCCCTTCACAGATATGCAAGGGATCCCCATGCAGATATATGGTAACTGGCCATACTTCCCAGGTGCATCTGTCATGTGATATTATTATGAATATTTCAAGTGATAAGCTTCTGACGTTTCCAGGACGCCGTTCGGCTCAGCTTAGTTAATACTTTTCGAGGTCAAGTTACTTGGACAGAAGATGGAAAAAAACTGGAACTGATTGCTTGCTGCTTCTTATTTCTGCGGGAAACAAGTAAAAGTGATTTGGGCGGGCTTGCTCGACTATAAGATACCGTTACCAGCATTCCAGCTTCCTTCCATTCTGATAGTCTCTTCCTTCGGTTCTTATAGTCCGATCATTATGCAATTTTTCGGTCAATTCGGTAAATTTGACATCAAATGAAAAATGACAAATGAGTACACACAATATATATTTCACTTTTTGGAAAGCTTCGCTCGTTCTGCCAAATATTGTTAAGTTAAGCAATCCCTCAATGGAATCAGTTGCATTAATTAACGTGCCCATTTCGAAGATTCTCCAGCACAGGCCCAGGTAACATTACTAGCCGCCGTCTCGAGAAACTGTCTACGCCAGCGACTCGGTTGCGCCACAGTTCCCTTCTCTGGGCTTGACACCTACGGAAAGACCTTGAAAACCAGCCGTTTGTGGCATGTGCAACTTTCACCAGATGCAGCTAAAAAGACACTGTCACAGTGAGGCGAACAAAACGAAGCTGCTCGAAAGAAAACGAAGCATTTTCGCAGTCTGCAGTTCCTGCCAATGTCGAATCACAGTTACAATCTTTAATCGGAGTCTCGCCGAGTTGTCATGAGCTGCATCTGCCCCTACATAATTATGGTCGACACGGCAGGAAACCGAAATGTCCCTCTCAGAGCAAATATATCATGTTTCCGTTTGTCTTTCATCTTAATAACACGTAAGCCTTGTCTGAATTAAGTCTACAGTTGACTTTGTAACTGGATTTTCAAGGCAATATTCTTCTAAATACTTCGTGCATTGAAGATACATATTTACATATTACCCGGCTATGCCCGGATTCAAAAATGTAGTAGTAAAAACACAGAAACACTCTGTTTTACCAAAAATGTAATTGTAATCTTTGAAAAAGGCCAAAAAGCAGAAAGTAGAAAACAATTTCGTGAATATTTCCTAAAAGCTTATTTAGCTTAACACTAGATCCGATGGGGAATCACACGAGTATGAGTTCCAAACATGCAGTCTGTGGACGGACATTGTTCAAAGCGCATAGACTCGTTTTAAGCTCTGTCAACAGAGTATAAAAAAGTCACAACATTTAAAATGTCTTTAAATCGATATTTTTGCCTTTCACGAGCTGAATTATTTCCAAGCAGAGTTTTTGCTCCCGACTTACTTTGAATGTGTTTCTTCACAGACCCAATCATTATTTTTCCAGTGCTTTGCTTTCATTACTTGTTTGGAACTCACTCAACCTCGTGCGATTTGGAAACCACTTGATCGTGTTGCCTGGCGTGTGTGTGTGAGTGTGTATGCGTGAGACCCGGTGTGTATGTATGCATGTGCTGCTGTAAATCGACTCGTCGAGTGCTCACTGGAATCAAAGAAATAACAGTAGGAACAACATTGCAAACATCCAGACCACCATTCTCTCTCCTTAAAAAAAATGTCTCTCCCAAATTGCTTTTATCTCTTTGTCTCCTCCATTACATGCAACTAGCGTGTCTCTCTCTCTCTCTCGACAAAGTTAATTTCAAATACCCTTGCAGTGAGTATCACAATACAACCGACCTTTTCAGCTCATGAAGAAATAACTGTTCTCGAACTCTTCACCAAAATCGATAAAAACAATCTACTGACTTCTCACAATAGCGTCATTGGAGCATGTGCATGTACATACATACATAGTGTACATGTCAGCAAAGGTATTTACTCTTCGGTGTAACTGTTCAGTCTTTTATTTATGCCTTTGTATCTTGCATGCAAGCAACTGGATACACATACATGCATACATACATACATCACATGATTGTACTTAAGTGTGTGTGTGTGTGTGTGTGTGTGTGTTTATATTATTTTAATTTTTCGTTTGCGTTCGCCTCACTGCCTCGCTCTTTTCCTCTCTCCGCCTTTTTTGTCTCTTTTACTGTCTGACCCTCTCTTCCACATTCTTCTTCAATCTTGATCGTAATGTTGTTGCTCCCGCTGATCAAGTGCTCAATTATTTTGTCTTGTTTTTATACCCTAAATCCATAAAATGGGTATTGCGCAAATGTATTTTTTGCCAGGCAGATATCTCCGACTTCATTAAGCACACCTTCCATTTATGTATGTATGAATATGTATATATGTATGTGCATAGACACATCAGGACGAAAAGGCATAGCCCCAATAATATAATAAGAATCGCACAATAAAATAAGAGGTTATTCATGAATGCATTTTTCAATGTGAGAAGCTGACGGCAAAAGAGCACAACCGCTGCCCAAAGAATAAAGAGTGTGTGTACCAATACATATGTATATATGTATGTATGTATGTGTATTGAAAATATTCGGAGCTGGGTACAAGGTATCTGCACGTCGTGCAGTGTTGCCTAAAGCACTCTTACTTGTTTATCGTTGCTGTTGTAGCTCTTGGCAAACTTCCATGGACCGTTCCGGCATTCCGAAATTCGCATACCAATGTTTCCAGTTAAACCAATTCCAGTTTTCAATTGGAATTGCGACGAAGAGCTCTGCCACAGGTTCAACACACTCGAAACGCTGCACAGTCAGCAGTTTGCCAGTTAGAAGCTGCAGACCTCTTACCACCACTCAAATATCGCCACAGTATAAGAGTGGAAGAGCGCTAATGTATAAGAGCGTCGGCTTAGAAACGCAAGCACTCAGCAAAGCGTCGCAGCCACGACTCAGATCTCTCAATCTTGCTCATAGCTGCAGCGATCGACTGAGCGAACTCAATCCGTCGGCCGAGCTCTGCACATGGATACGTTCAGCTGTGTGTGTGAGTGTCTGTATATGTGTGTATCTTTTTGAGTGTCAAGCATTGCAACTCTTTGAATAACTTGCGAAATTCCAATTTCGAATTGATCTCAACTATTCGAGAAGGACGAGTGCAATATGAAAATACTCAAACAAACGAAAATGTATCTATGCGCTCATAATATACGCTATTACAGTTATTTTATTTGTGTAACCTTTTAAAGTAAATAACAAGAAAAAACTGATTTTGTTAGGTATGCCCCACTAGAAAACACCCTGTAGCCAGCGCAGATGTGACGAGCTTTTTTAACTCTCTTCGGCGTTTATTGTCCGATTTTGCTCAAATTTTAAGAGCATTTACATATACGAAGCACAGACGTTATTTGTTAGCTCTACAACTATTTAACTATTTATGTATTACTATTTACTATTTAAAATATTTATAAAGAATATTCTTGTCACAGTTGAAAAGCCACTGACTGGTTACAGTTTTAGAGTCAGCTATCGATAGCTTGATTGCGAACAGAGTATTACGTGGTCGACTACCCGACTGCAGCGTTTTTCTTTGTTGTTTTTCGATTATTTCGCTCGCTCGTTTTCATTGCCCGCTAAGCAGATTTTCCACACGGGTTTTTCCCCCGGAGCTGTCTTTTCCGTTTACTATCCCCTGGCGACAATTGTTGCATCAGCTCTTGCTTCTGCCCGGTGTTCAAGTTTATTCGTGACATTTATTTGCGGATTTCAAGTAAGTTTTTCCTAGTGCGACTTTCTTTTCCCTTTCACGCTGCCTCAAGTACGTGCAACTTGTTGTCAGTCTTGTCGTTCCCTACACATCCTCCTTGCCCTCCTGCCCCCGACACTATTATCATAAACAACGCTCTGCGGCGGCACCTTTCGCTTTTGTAGCCAACTTCGGTTTCAGTTGAGTTTTTCGGGTCTGGGCGGCCTAAAGCACGCGTTTTGCTTAAATCGAAAGTTAGCGCTGCGCGGATGCTGGCGAATTTTGGAAAGTGAATTCATAATCGCCGACGAATTTGCCAACCTAAGCATGCACCCGATCAATAGATAATAAATGGGCGCATTAGCCGACCTGTACCGGCACCTACTACTTAACGGCAAGGGGTCAAACCGATTACGTTGCGGAACCAGAAAGAACAGCTATCTGGCGTAGGCCACAATTTGAATAGCCTTGCGGTCGTCAATCGGATGTCCTATAAATTGATGCACTTCAAACTAGCAGAAGACTTTGGTTAAGCTTTCTTCAAAAAAAAACGAGCGAAGTTTGTCAAATCAAAACTTAACTTTTTATACCCTGAAGCCATTAAAAATGTGTGGGTATATTGTATTTGCGTAAAATCCAAATGTATGTAATAGGCAGAAGGAAGCATCTTCGACCCCATAAAGTATATATATTCTTGATCAGCATCAATAGCCGAGTCGATCTAGCCATGTCCGACTGTCTGTCTGTCCGTCCCTCCGTATGTATGAACGCAAGGATATTAGAACCTATGAGCTAGAAACTTGGTAATTTAGATGTAGGTGCTCCTAGTGTCTGCGCAGATCGAGTTTGTTTCCGATAATCGATAACTTACTCCGTTTCCAAGCAATCGATAAAAATCGATATGTTTTTTGGGCAATTTTGATAAATAATAAGAGCTAGAGTCACGAAACATAATATGTTGCTTCTAAAATATTATATATTTGTCAAGTATTAATTTCATTTTATACCTATCGCCACCTTCCCGCTACCACCATAGAGCTATAAAGCAAGTTAATAACCCAACTTTTATTGCCAACCAATTTAAGCCAAAATTTAAATGCAATTGACTTTTTCAGTATACACTAATATTTTATGATACAATAAGATGTACTGTAGAAAATTTCATAAAGATCGGTTAAAAAAAAAAACAAAGTTATATGCAACTGCCCAATTGAATAGAGCAGCATCTTTAATTTTTTTCATTCATGCGCGTCTGCTTCGCATTTTAACAGAATGGTTATTGCAACTTTTTTCTGTAATGCTATTTAAGTTCCTTTTTTTATCATAAGTGCTTATTTCAAAATTTTGACCCAAACCGACAAAATGGCAAGGGGTTACATCACGTTTTTTTTTCAAAATCGAAGTGGGTGCGAAAATCGAAACTTTTTCGATGATTTTTCCGCGCGGGAGATATGACGTTCCAAAACGACATAACTCCGCGCGGAGATATGACGTTCCAAAGCGACATAACTCCGCGCGGAGATATGACGTTCCAAAACGACATAACTCCGCGCGGAGATATGACGTTCCAAAGCGACATAACTCCGCGCGGAGATATGACGTTCCAAAACGACATAACTCCGCGCGGAGATATGACGTTCCAAAACGACATAACTCCGCGCGGAGGTATGGCCTTTCAAATCATCACGATTTTTTTCAAAATCGGGGTCGGTGCGAAAATCGAAACTTTTTCGATGATTTTTTTTTAATATCTTGGGTAAATAATGTCTGATTTTAAAATGTTATACCTTTTTGAATGCGTTCGGATCCCTACCATCAATTGGCATTCAAACAAATTAATCATCGATGGGTTGAAAAATGTTGTTGACAAAAAACTGATTCGTTCGCAAATGCAATCTTTTTGATGATTTTTTGGAATATTTCCGTCAAATAATGTCCGATTTTGCAATTTAATACCATTTTAGACTCGTAAGGATCAGTTCTATCGATTGGCATCAATAAATCTAAAATTTTGACCCAAATCGACAAAATGGCAAGGGGCTACTTCACGTTTTTTTTTTCAAAATCGAAGTCGGTGCGAAAATCGAAACTTCTATAAGGTATAAGGTTATATTGTATTTGTGATGTTGGAAGAAGAGGGTTCAGGGTATCCCCTAGTCGGGAGCTCCCGACTAGAACCTCTTATTTGTTTTCAATATGATATCTTAAGCTGGGACACAGAGACAGCGACAACAGATATCACAATCAATAGTGTTCCATTTGAGAGTGCCCGACTTGGATATACCCTGTATTTCGCTCTATTTCAGAGCATTTTTAGTGCATCCTTTAATAAATTGTGAGCCTATGTAATGAAGCATCTGTCCAAGTTGGTTATATAATCGATAATTATCGATATTTTAAAAATGTGAGAGAAATTTAAAAGCTTTATCTGCATGCGATATACGAAAATATATATGCTTACAAATATATTTATAAGAGACAATCGAAATTTATTAATATTTAAAATATGAGAAATCAAATGATATTGGAAAATATATATATATGCCTGACATTTAATCGATGTTTATCGATATTTTAAAAATCATATATGTATACTCTGTGACATATGAAGAGAATGACTTGACAAGATCGATCTGTCGATGTATATACCCTATGGGGTCTGACTAGTGCACACAACTAGTATATACCCACGATTTTATGCATTTCCAATGGGGTTTGGGGGTTAAAAACATGAGCATTGGGCGCAGCCAATTGAATCTGAATGTTGCGAGCTGTGTATTTTTTTTTATGGCCAAATGACGCATTTCATGTTCAACAAATGTGGTAAGAGCGAGTGAGAAAAATAACTATGAGCTCATGCCGCAAAGTGCAGCAAGAATAGCTTCAAATCGGCCAAACTTCCGGCATATGCCAAACATTAATAATAAACAACTTACAAGCCATAAACCAATGAGATGCCGCGGCACAAAAAGAAAACATAAAAGCCAGCTACCACAGAATAAATTACAACATGATATAGAGACAAGGCAAGTACTGCGGTTCTACTCAGATACAGCCGACTGCGCAATACCCTGTACACCATTTAAAAGCAGCTGAGAACAGGTGCAAATAATATATCTCAGCGTCTGGGTGCAGTAACCCAAAAGGGTATCGGGATGTTGTGTGTTTGCTGAGCAATATCTCAATTCGACGCAGCCAATAAGCCCATTTGCACTTGGCGAACAGAGCATGAATTGCAGCAAGCAAATGAAAATTGTGCTCAACCAATAAAAAGATGCAAACCAAAAAAGAAAAGCCACAAGCAAACACAATTCCAAAGAAAATGTGCGCACAGTGAGTGTCAAAATTATTACAGCCTCCGGACTGGACGACTAAACTAAATGGTGACTCGAATATTGCAACCAAATTGGAAGACACAAGTCACACTGGACGTGGACGACGACGACCATGGCGATGGCGACAACGGACCAGGGCAGGACAGCGACACCGCGACGGACACATGATGCATGCTACATGCTTCGCACTTTAGCAACATGAAGCGCAGAGCGCAGAGCCCCGAATTAAGGCATTAACAAAGCAATTTCTGCACTCCAAAAAACGAAATCTCCATTTTTTTAAATGAGATTCGCTTCAATTTTGTACAACACAGTTAGGAAAAAGCTGAATAACTGTTGCCTCTTTTTCGATTTATACAGTAACGCACATATATTCCTAATTATAGAACTATAGTAGCAAAATATAGATGTCCCTAGAGTATCTAATATTTCTTTATCCCTTATCAAGATATCTGGTTATATCTATTCTCCTAGTATATGACAGTTATAAGACTACGAAAATTCAATATAATTTTTTTATGAATATATTTTTTTTATATATATATATAGAAAAGTTCAGTCTCTAAGTTTTCAGAATATAGAAAAGTAAACGGTTGAGTGGATCTTTCGATTTGATTTTATGTAAAGTTATAAAGTTGTTAAGTCAAACGCTGTAAACGAAAGCGCTTAAAAATATTCCAAATTCCTTGCATGTTTGAGGAATATATGAGGAAAAGTTTTAGGGAACGCCAACAGGACAGAGAAAATTAAATATATGAAGGGAAGAAGCATCATACGGGAATCAGAATATTTTTTGGCAAAAAGCCTTGTTGCAAAACAGAAATTAAGAACTTTGCTGTGGGGAATAACCGACTATGCAATACTGTGTTCCAAATGCTGCAAGCGGATTACATAAGTCGAGCAGAGTTCTGACACTCTGGGTTCTGGGTGGCTCTAAAACTCTCTCAGTAAGTCTCAAACTGTAAATGTAGAAAATATCAAATATTTTTGGCCCAATCTATAGTTGACATGTCTGATGCGGATAGACACCAGTTCATATTTCAAGGGAGCCGAGGACCCAAATATGCGCTTTCCCTCTGTGAGCAGAGTATAAAAGGACATCCTACAAATAGGACATTTAATATTATATCTATAAGTAAAAACTCGTGCAAAGGCAGCGAGCAACAAGGGAGAATGTTTATAGCCTTGTTTGAGAGAGAGATAGAGAGAGGGGGGGGGGGGGCAGCTGGAAAGAGGCAGGCACACATATAAAGGATATGCTGTAGGATGTGCGCCAACAACAATACCGAAGCCGGTTTCATGGAACCAAGGCACCATCCAATAGCGCATTCAGCGAGTCATCTGCATACACAGCAGGATATGGTCAAGTTGGCGCACCAAAAAATGCCTGTAAACGCCGCCAACTTTATGAGCTTAAAGTCCTGTGTGCGGCAAGGCGAAAGCCGATGGAAAGTCCCTAAAATACGATTCACATAGCTGGCTCTGCGACTGAAAAGTCCAAGCATGGGCTTCAAATCAAAACTTGTTTATATGCCGAAAAGTATGCAACAAATTGACAGTTCTACATGGCAGAGCATCAAAACAATTGAATACTTAGTTATAAAACACAAATATATCTTGATAAACCAGATTTTATATTGGATCAATTTAATTGACCCAAAATGTCAAAGATGTCTTTAAAGAATCGCAAATGTTTATAATTTATGTAAAGTAAATGGATGTTAACAATGCGTATATACCTTCAAAATATGTATATACATCTGTACTTTGACTTGAGCTAGAGATGGGCATGGATTGTTGCACGAAGAGCCTGTGCTACAAGACTCTTTTTCGTGCGTGCAACGTTTATGGACTACGATTCTTAAAGTCTACATTACAAACACTTTAAATTAGAAACTCGCTTAAGGTATCAGCAGAACGAACGTACAAAATGCGCCAGCAGCCTCTTGACTAACTGGAGACCGAAGATTAACCCATCTATATAAAATCGCCGAACAAGCGTCAGCCGCTATGTTGTGAAGGCAGACATAATGCTGGGGCAAAGCCAAATAGCCTTGCAGCCCGGCTGGGCAGGGTAAATGGAAGCAAGGATACAAATTGCACGACAATGTCATAAAACGGCCACTCACCTCGATAAACTTTGCTGCGTTTGCCAGCGGCAACTATTGCTGGTTGCAGTTGTTGCTGCTGTTGCTGCTGTTGCTGTTGTTGTTGTTGTGACTGACGTTGTTGAATGGCCGCGTCCAGTTGCAGCAGCAATTGCGGCGCTGTTGCCGCTGCCTGGCCGATATTTCCATTAACATTTGTCACAACGGCCACCGACGGTGTCAATTGTTGCTGCACAAGTTTCTGCTGCTGCTGCTGCTGCTGCTCCCGATGATGTTGCTGCTGCTCTCGTTGCTGCTGCTGATGATGCAGATGATTGAGCTGCTGTTGCGGCGCATGGTGGTGCGTCAGCAGTGGCTGCCCGGCGCCGCCAGCTGCCACGGCTGGCGGTCCATGAGCCGGGCAGAAGCTGCGATACTCTCCATTGATGTCCATATATATTGGCGCCTCCACAAGTGGCCAGCCGCCGCCGGCGCCGGCTGGTGTGGCAACAGCAGCTGCCGGCGCTGCAGTGCCGGCTGCTGCCGTCGGCGTCAAGGTAATCAATTGCACGGGCAACAATTGTGGACCATTGCTGGACTGCACATGAATGTGTGGCATGCCACCGTGTTGGCTGCAATGCTGCTGCTTGGGTGACACCTGCTGCTGCTGCTGTTGCTGCTGTTGCTGTTGCTGCTGCTGCAAGGTGGACAGCGCGTGTTGCTGATAGAAAACAGTTGTGTGCTCGTAGGCTGCATACAAGGTACTCGATGCCGCATGGCCTCTGTTGAAGCTGGCCGGTGCTGGTGGTGCTCCCAGAGCCAGCATAGACATGCTGCTGCTGCTGCTGCTGCTGCCGGCAGCTGCTGCTGGCTGCGACTTGGCCCGCAATGCGGCGGGCTGGAAGGGCGGCGCCAGGGGCGTCAGATTCGATTGAGAAGCCTTGACCAGAGCGCTGCTGTGGGCCGTTTGATTTGACAAGTCGTCCGACTTGTTAATTGGGATACGCTCCTTGCGCGTCGCTTTGGCCCGCTCCGGGCCGTTGGCTATGTCGTGTGCCTCGCTGTGGTTGTTGTTGTTGTTGTCGACAACAGTTTGGGTGACCGGCAACTCGGACACATGGCTGGCGCCCGCCTTGTCGATTAACTGATAGCTTTCGTCAATGAAAGCCACCAAATCCTGGCAAGCCTGCTGCAATTCCTCCTGTGTGGCCGGGCCTGACGCTGTCGCCGCAGTTTCCTGTTCAGCCCCAGTTTCTTCTTCTTCGTCGTCGCTTTCGATAACATGCTCGATAATGCGCAAGTTATCGTAGTCGATAATCCGCGCATAGCCCATCTTGAGTGCCAGGCCCGTCAGCCTGGCCACATCATCGTTCCCGCTCTCATCGTTGTAGGTGAATACATCGAAGGCGTGTGCATCTTTGGGGCTCTGTTCCGACGAGGCTTCTTTTGGGAACTCCAGCAAAACTCTCATCTTGCTGTTCATCTCGTAATCCTTATGCCCCTCGGCCGTTATACCGTTTGGTGTTGTAATCTCCTGCTCTTCCTCGGGTATTTGCTCGAGCTGCGCTTCTGTTATCTTGAGCTGTTCCACCTCCTCTGGTGCGTCCTCGGTTTGTGTGCTGTTATCGATAAATATCTCTGCCCCCTCATCGGTGGCCGTTGCCGTGGACATGCCGCAACTGTCGTAATAGACACATTCGTCGCACACCAAGTCCAACTGTGTCTCAGTCGACGGTGTCTTCAGGTGAGAGCTTACTGTTGCTGCTGCCATTTGAATGTATTCTAACAGTATTCTAAATGCAACTTTTACTTGCCAATTGCTCTGGGATTACTCTGCCTTGATTCCTGTGTGACTTGAGAGATTTCAGCTGCAGTTGCTCACTTTTCGTCAATAATACCATTTTTTCTGAGCTCTAATTTAGTTTAACTTTATCTTAATCAAGCGGTGCTTAAATTTCAGGTATTTTTTTCATTTTCAGCATCTGAAAGTAAAACAGGTAAAAGTTACAAATTAGTGAATTTATGGTTTATCACCTGTCCAGAATATCCGACTAGCGTATACCCTGAGGTACTTCTACCAGAAACTAGTATTATTTAAAGTAAGAGAAAGACTGGGAGATAGCCTGAACCTTCTTCTACCAACAGCAAATGCAGAATACGAATAAGCTGACTTAAACAGTGCGATACACTGGATCTATCTAATAGGGTTCTTATAGGTTCTCTTGCTCTTATAGGTTCTGAGATTCCTGTCTCCAATCGATCAAATCGTCTCTTGATGCTGAGCATGTATATTTATACTTTTAGATACTTTACTCGAAGATACTTTTTTTTCTGTTTGTTGCATACATTTGCACAAAACCAATATACCCCTTCTTAACCATTTTCAGTTGGTATAAAAACGAGCTATTTTGGTTTCCAAAAATGGCGTACGAACATCATCAAATATTAATTTTAATCAAAAGTTAATCATAAATGCAAGAGAAAACAGTTGGGAAATGTTTCAGTGATTTCTGTTATGGCTGTTGCAACTGTTTGACCAACAAATAAATCATTTTCAAATGACTTTTACAAAAAAAACAGAAATTGGTAAGTCAGAATCAGAGCTCCTGACTGAAGTAGCGCGTACTTAAGATATCTATTTAACTCGAAATCTTGCGTTCGAATACAAACTAAGAATATCAACTGGAAAATTGAGTAGCTTTGCATTGTCGTTTGCAAGTGGACTATTCTCCGTTCGATACCTATTCTAGTTATGTTACTTCAATGTCTAAGATTGACAGTCTTTACAGCGAGAAGGAGAAGTATTTTAAAGGCAGCAAATCAGCTTCATCTGCTTGTTAATTTAATACTCAACAGCTTAAAGAACTTCGATGAATGTGTCGCAACATTTGCCGACATGAACAAACGTCTAAGCGAATGTGTCTATTAATGCTTAAATCTTGCTTCCCTTCCATAATATCTTTCTTAAAGAAATTAAATCTCATCGCAGTGGTCGACGACACGTTCTCTGTAGCCAAGGCAACTCGAGCTAGAATTTCCCCCAAAGGCAGCGTCCGTGCCACTTGACTCCAAGCTGTTAACCCCAATGATTTCACCCTCGACGACACATCAATTATCTGCGAAGCAAGCAGTATTTAGCAGACTGTTGGCCAACTGCAAGGACACTTGAATGCGTTTGAGACGTGTTTTCAATTGGCTAATCAACAGGTAAAAGTCAATTTGCGAACTGCCGGGCGAACTGCTCAAGCAAAAGGGGGGACATCGCTGCCCAAAAATCATAAAAGATTGAGTAGGAAGCCGCAATCTCTCTTGGAACAACTTTGGCTTGCATCCATCTGCAGTCGTAGCCCGGCTAAGTATCTTAAGACCTAACACAACAACAAGAAAGCAGGCAGGCCTTGAGGAAGATGCGGACGGACGCACTTTAAACAACTTGCCAGAATTAAGCACTATTGTTAAGCTTCTCCGGCGAACTATTAACCAATTAGCTACATACTGAAAAAAAAAAACAGACCAAAATGCGTTCTTTCAGTCCTCCTTCATGTCAAAAGAGAACAGAGCTAAGAGCTTTGTGTTTAAATGGGCTTCTAGGAATGCAGCTAATAAAATATACGCATCCTGCTGAAAGAAAAAATAAATCTAGTCAAGCATCAAGGGGCTTAGGGATTCCGACAAATGACGAGCTCGCCACAGCCAATTAGTACATCATTTTGCGTCTCTTAATCTGGCTTATACCTTTCACTATTTTACCTTTTCAGCATTTGACAAATGTCGCATAAAAAGACATGTCGCATCAAAGACGCAGGGGTTAAACTTCATTTGCGCTAAAGCAAAAACCAAAGCATACTTAAGAGGGCCCACGCGGGATTCACATATATGTATATATATATATATATAGTCGCGCTCACATTTGTGTCTGGTTTCCATATTGAGAGTCCATATGGCAGAAAAAATGCTAAAATATGAGACTTTTTCTACGTTAGCTGAGTTTAGGCTAACCGAAAACCTAAAACGCGAATACAATTTGACGAATCGCAATAAATTAGTGTAATTAACATGTGCATAATTATATATATATATATCAAAATGATTAAAATATATTAATTAAAGCTGGTGTGTGATTGTATTTGTAGTCTGCTTTATCAGAATAATTAATACGCTGCTTTTGCTAGCAGTTTAATTAAACATGCAATTTGCCATATGTCTGAATAAAGTTGAGAACTTTCAGATACATCGAATCCCAGTTGGAAAATCGATTTCGATTTCATGAATAGGGCAATATATATGTATAAATATATAATTGCGGCATTTTATACGTGACGGATTGCGCCATATTTCGGGCCCACAACTATTTATTTGCACAGCAATCAAATCAAGCATAGGGAAGAGCAGAAATATTGAAATATGATAGAGAAATCAAATAATTCTCAGCAATTTCTGAGTAAAACTGATTACGTAAGTGTGCTCAAATGCTTTGCCTTCAGTCGGGTTGAAATGTTTCAGATTACAATTAAATCTTTGAACGAAATGCAATTATTTAGTTAGAAGGCTTTTGGCTCTGATTTCAACAGGATTACTTGGCTAGATTCCTTCAATTAAGATTGAGCTGCTCTACATTTATAATCGCATCGATTAGCCGCATAGTTAATAGCACTTGACTTGAAACGCAGCAGGCTAATTTGAAATATTTCGATTCGCCGGACGGTTGTCTAAAATGTCGTTCATTTTCAATAGTTATTAGACAATACGGAACATTCATAATCTACTATAATAAAAAGTTGTTATTTAAAGAAGTTATCGAAATGCCAAACTTTAACGGAGCCATCGTTGTGCACACGCTGCAGTTGATCAAGACACCGGCAACACTTCGCGAGATTGTGGTGACCATTGCCAAGAACACGGACCTGCCGCAGGAGGATCTGATGAAGCCCGTCAAGCAGACCCTTGACATGGGCTATCGCATGGGCTTCCTACAGAAACTAAATGGTACGATAAGAAACTAATTGAAAAGGTTTTTCGCTTTAGCTATATATTCGTTTCCGCAGGAAGATACTTTTTGGTGCCGATGACCTTTGACACGCTCATGGCTGAAATAAAGTCGTCCGGCCAGCCCGGCCAGATCGGCCAGCCCGCCCGCAAGACCGGCCCAGAGCCCGAAAAGGCCGAATCCAAGCTCAAGATGGACAAGAAGTCCGCCAAGCAGCACCATAAGCAGCTGGCGCTGTCAACCAAAAACCACAACCAGAGTCAGTATCAAACGGTTCTGGATCACGAATCTACCACCACATTGATGCCACAACAAACGATGCACCTGAAGCCGGATGCATTGATGATACGCAAGCCGAAACGGTCGCAGGTGCCACCCATTAAATAGATGACTCACTCCAAATGCCTTGAGGCATCGAAAATTTTCCGTTTGATAATTGAGTTTTTCTTTTTGGTAAATAAATCTATAAAAAAATTGAATGATGCGCTAAGTAGCATAGCACAAATACATTGTCGAACTTTTCAATTAACAAAATATGAACACTAACAAGTTAGTCTAGGTGCAAATTGTTGGAAATTCCATGGAAATACCATTGGACCCTTTGCCAGAACCAAGCTAGAACAGGATGCTGCAACGCACTTTGAAAAATTGCCTCTCATTTGTGCAAGTTGACAAATGTCTCAATTAGCGGCGCCATCTCTCGGATGGGATCCGAAAGCTGGTGGGCGTGCGTGGGGATGGGGAAGGGGAAGGCGTGAGCACGAGAATGACATGGACGCGTCGTTTCCCTCAATTTGTAAGCCAAATGAAGCGTCGCCTCTGCCAAGTTTCCCCCTTTTGCAGTGTGCATTGACCATATGGTTCGCCCAGTCCCAGCCGCCCACGACCGTTATCCACAGTCGCACTGTCGCACTGTCCGTTCTCCTTGCCGACCTTTGCGATGACGTCGACAGCAACAGCGACTGCTACGCCGGCAGAGAGCAACGCACGTCAAAGTAATGCAAATGTAGTCTAAGCACATACCACATACCGGGTCGGGACCAAGAGTTAGAAAGAGAGCGCAACATGCGTGAGCACGAAATATGGTGAGTAACGAGCGCGTGTTGAGTTTCTATACGACGGGAGTGCAACAAATGTTTGTCTCGGTCAACTAGTAGCTAACGGTAAGGACGTGGGCCGAGCTGCTATTGCCTTTGCTGTGTGGGCGCGGGCGCTGTTCACAAAACGGTGTAAAAAGCGAAAAGTGGGTTTATCCCTCGACATCGTTTCGGCATACTGGCATAAATACATATGTATGTACATATGTATGCACTATAATCGTACAAGGGAATACTCCACACTGCGCGTCCTTGTGTAAAGGTGGGCGCTAGCATTTAGGGCATGTATGCGAGTTCAACGAAGTCCAACTACGTAGATACTCTTTTCCTAGTAAGTATATTGGCAGCTCAAAATAGGTTATTTTCCCAAAAATCTGTATTTTAACAGTTCAATATAAAAAATTCCCGACAAAGACATTTTAAGGCATTTAAGTATATAGCGAAGCAGCAAAAGTGGAAAAGTTGATCCATTGCTTCTATACGATGTCATTAGTTCCTACAAAGATTTATCTCCATCTCAGACAGACAGAGAGTATATTAGAAGCCAATACAGGAGAGAGCGAATCAGAGTTAAGATACATATTACTTTTTCAGATACTAATCTCCAAAAGCTACATTTGTGTGTCCTTAAAAGACCACTTTAGAGATAATATAAGAAACTGTGAATTTATAGAAAAACCTGTCGCGCGTAAACTTGTATTGGTTTGAGAAAGCTCACGGGGACGGTCGAAGGGGAGGGCAGACGTCTGCGAAGCATATGCCACGCAAAGCTTATCAACCGTTAATGCCATGCATTGAAAATATATAAATGCAATTAACTGTCATCTAATCGAAAAGCGTTGTACAACAACGCAAAAGAGCACGAAAGTGCGTAAGAGCTTTAATACCCAACAGACATATGCGCACATGCACACACCCACATTCATGTATGTATGTATAGATAGTTATGCATTTACATATAATGCATGTTTTCTTACACTAATATACACACACACACACACACAAACATGTGTACGCATGTGTAAATGGCAAGACATAAAAACGTAGACGTGCAACAGCAGCGCAATTTACGTTGACGTCGACAGCGGTTGGCAATACACTGAAAACCAAATAGGCTTCAGTTTTGCTGTGCGCGTGGTGAGTAAGAAAGCGTTACTGCTCTGCCCGCTGCGAAGCCCTGGCCATGCCTCAGCGGCGCATTATGTTGTTGTTGTTGTTGTTGTTGTTGTTGTTGTTGTTGCTGTTGCTGCTGCGTCAACTGGTTGAGTTGCCTCGCTGAATGCACTTGTTTGCCAGTTTTTGTTGCTACGTTTTGTTGCTTTGCTTTGTGTGCCACAAACTATTGCCAATTCACACACACACACACACACACACAAAAGCTGCAAAGCTATGTGTGTGTATATTAGTATGCGTGTGTGTGTGTGTGTGTGTATGTACATACATTATACGCGCGTATGCGTGAGTATAAAGTTAGCATATTGTTGCCTTTTACTCCCAATTCGCCGCATTAAAATCAGATATTAAAACGCAGCGGTCACAGCTGAACATGAAAGCAATTAAAAATTTATGAAAAAGAATTAAAAATGCTATTTGCTTAATAGCTTGCCTTTGACTTACCAGTTGCTGCAACAAGACAGCAAAACGGCTGAAAATGTTTTCGTTATTTCGCACAACACACACTCACTCACACACACACACACACACATATATATACACATATGCACATACACAGGCACAAATTCAAAACACATACGGCACGAACGCGAATATGAGCACGAAGAAAACAAACCTATTCAACTAACAGCAACAATTTGTTATTGTTTTATTTAGCATGGCACTGTTTTGTGTTTCAATTTTATGTTTCTTGCACCTGTTGTGGTAGTTCGGAAAATGCGTTAAGATATTTGCAATTTTGGTCGGCTTTAACTTGTTGGCATTTGGCTTAACATTAACCAAAGCAACAGAAAACACACAACAACAGGCGACACACGAAGACCCAAACGCGGCAAACGTTTGATTTTGATTGACGCTGGCGCACCATGGAAAACTGCAAACGAGCCAAAGCCCGCTAACGAGCATCGTCGCGCAGCGAGCAGCGAGCAGCGAGCAGCGAGCCGACCGACACGAGCGCACGAAGCTAAATCCGCAGCGATAGCAATGCTCGAATACTGCGTGGGAGCAACGCGCAAGAGCAGTGCCTACAAGTTGCATGCAAATTCTATTGTACGTGGGTGGCTAAACTCCGTCAAGTGGAAGAGAGAAGGCGCGACGGCGATGGGTAACGGCATCGGCATCGGCATCGGCAACGGCAACGGCAACATATGTACATATTTCGATTGTTCTCTGACCACAACCTGTGTGAGGGCAGGCGGCAAAAGCTTTTTGCTTTTGTTGTTCTTGTTGCCGGCAGAAAGTCAACAGCTGTTTTACAGTTACGCTGGACATTTGCCTATATTGAAATTGTTAAAGATTAGCACAGTTATTCCGATCGAAATCATAACTGACGCAATTAAAAAGACTCATTTTATTAACCTACTCAGCGTGCATAAAAATTGTATGTAAAAATATGGTTTACCGTTAGTGGTGTGTGTGTGTGTGTGTGTGTGTGTGTGTTTAATACAAGGAATTGCGCATTAGTCAAGTTTCGCCGCTTCAAGAAAAAAGATTGCCAGAAATGTTGTGATTTTAATAGCCAAAAGCTTGCACGCGAATGGTGTGTGTCTTCGATAATACCGTTATCAACGTAAAGCTTTTGGCCAGTAACAGTAACATCACTTGGGACAAAAACACTTGTTAGTTTTGCGCAGCTTTAGCCACCATTCAAAGTCGTTTTGGATGAACTTCTTCTTTGCGGTTTGCTTCTTCTTCTGATAGTTATCGCGATCCTGCAACCAAATCCGCGCATACTCCCAGCCAATGAGCATGGCCATCGTGGTGGGAATATCCTATCCGATCAGATAAATATTTTGATTGCAACCTGAGCCAGCTTTAAGTGGTCAAATAGTAGATATTCACCTCGCGCTCGCGGGTTGCGACCATTGCACAACGCTGGGCTCTTAAGCCGGCTTCAGTTGTTAGATTATCAATGGGTCTGCAAATAAGGGAACGTTCCCATTCCTTATGTCGGGACCCAACCGACATGATTAATTACAAATTTATGTTGACCACAATATTTAGCGTTAGTTTAGTGTCACTTTTTTTTTCGACCAGAGTCATGTTAAACAACAAATCCACAAAATAAAAAAAAAAAAATAAATTAAAATAAAAATTGTTACCCAGACAAACTATCCATGGTTTAGTTTGAATTTTAAAAACAGAATGTCTCTATATTTAAACTATTTGTCTCGACTGACCACCTGACAAACTATTCAAAGTCTAGTTTGCATTTTCTATTCAATATTTGAAAAAGTAGTCTCCTTATATAGAATTGTTCACTGTAGTTAGCCACGGGATATTCCCCCCGAATATAAAAAAATCATTTACGACTTGTTTTTTCTTATTTTTGGGTAAGTCCAAGCTTTCTTGAGATTGAGGGAAAACTTGCAAACTGCATTCAAAATGCACGGCTCTTGGATGGAGAGAAAAGTGCGGTTCGAAGGCTTTTTGAATCTTTAGGTGTTTATTTAAAATACCTTTACGGTATACGGTACACCTAATACGGTATTCTATGTATTTTTGGAAGTTGAAAAGAATAACACAAACAATTTTGGTTCTACTTGTATTTTCCATATTATTAATGCAGGCCGGGCTAAGACGGGTAATTTTTTCTATTAGTCAGGTTTATTGATACATATCCATTTTATAATATCTGAATTGAAATGATTTCAATGCTATTGCAGTTAAGACCTGGGCGCCTAATCGTGTGTAAGGTTGCGTAGTTCATGGCCAAAAGCTTGCACTGATATGGTTCGTGTCTTCGCTAGTACCGTTACACAAGCGAAAGCTCTCGGTCAACAGCGGGCTATCCTTTGGAGCAGAAACTCTTGTTCGTTTTGCGCAGCTTCAGCCACCAATCGAAATCGTTCTTGATTACCTTCGGCTTTGCATCCTCCTCTAAGTCTTCGCGATTTCGCGCCAGAGCGATTGCCCGTCGTTGGGCCCGCATGCCGGCTTCGGTTTTCAGATTATCCTTGGGCTTGCAGATTATGGAACGAGACCATTCCTTAGTTTTTCTCAAAGGTGCCATAACAAGTCCCAATTCGAATTAAACACAATTAATTTCGCTTATTTTTAGTTCGTTTTTCGAGAAGACATCTCAAAAAACTGATTTCATCTTCAACGAAAATATAACAGGAATTTCAAAGTGCTCAAAAGCAAGTTCCAGACACAGGTCCAAATTTCCCACTTCCATAACTCGCTCAAAACCCAACCCATTTTCAGAAAGTTTAACTATTTGTCAATTTGATCAATTAGGTATCTAAGACTGGCAACAATTTTTCAAATTTCATTTGAAAATAATACCCCCAAATATCTTATATAGACAGGTCAAAATTTCGTAATCCTATCGCTCGGTCTAAAGTCAACCGGGTTGACCCGTTAGGCAATTTATATTCGAGGACTTATTAATGTTTTACCTGGTATTTCCCGGCACTCCTAAGTCCATGTTGTCTGTTTCAAGTTTTATAGAGTCATTCCTTATTAAAGACCTATAGGAAATTGTATTCTAACCCTATTATCTTAAATTTTTTTTTAAAGAAATACTTTTCAAATGAAAACTGCTGAATTGGTTTTCTTTTTTAAATGCGGAGTGAAAAGTTTGAAATGTAGAGATAGTGTAACTATTAAATATGAGTTTTTAAGAAACATTTTCGCAGTATTTTTTGCAGTATTTTCTAACATGGAATTGGAACAGGCGCTTCACCCCTGTCACGCCCGTTTCGTCCTGTTTTCAGCCCTGGTTCAGAGGTCGCCCGAGCTGAATTTCCACTAAGCGAAGTGGATTGTAGCTATAGCTGAAGGACATTTCAAATTATATTTTTGGTATTTCCACCAATTTTCCACGAATAATTACTGCAAACTTAAGCGTGGCGTTAGCCGTTCATTCAAGTCCGAACGGAACTCTGAAACAAGCAATCCACCCAGAAATAAACAAAGAAATGTTGCCTCGAATTTCTGTCGGACAATAAGCAAAAAACAACAACGCAGACTTAAAGACAAAGAAGAAGCAAAACAAACTTTAAGTCAATACAGTACCTACACATAAAAAAAAAAATAAAAATAACACAATACGAACAAAGTAGAAGAGGAAGCAGCATGGGATGGGCAGCAAACTAAAGCAAACCCCCCGGCCGCCCGCAAGGGAGCGAGCTTGCCAGAAAAGCAAAAGGAAGAAGCAACACAAGTAAAACAAAACGAAAATATGTGTAGATGTGGGCGTGTGTGTGTGTGAGTGGGTGGGTTAACTGGCAACGGTGCGGGCAAACGTAAATCAAACAAAAATAAAACAAAGCAAAACAAATAAAATAAACAAAACTACGCAGAAGTAGCAGGCAGACGTCAACGAGAACGACAGCGACAGCGACGCCGACGCCGACGACGACGGCAAAAACAACAGCAGAATGGAAAGGGCAGGGGGTGTCATGAAAGAATGAAAGAAGCCAAAGCAAAACAACCAAATGAAATTGTACAAAACATGGCAATGCAATGATAATTATGATGATACTAATGTTGTTGTTGATGATGATGATGATGATGATGATGATTAAGCAAACGAAGCAAATTCCGTTAGCTAAAACAAACATTTGCCAATGTTCTCAACAAACTTTTGGGGGCAACAAAACGAAATTGAAAATGCACCCAGCACTGGGCAGCGGATGGCACTCTGGTGGGCGGCAACAGGGCTGGGCCGAATTTAAGTTTGAGTTCAAAAACAGTTAAACTTATACGGTGCACTCTGTACATGTATATGCATGCATGCATGTATGTGTATTTGTTGTGTTGTTTTTGCTTTTGCTCTGTGCGCTCGACAAACAGAGTAGCCCCCGATCTCGCTCTCTCCCGCAGGGCTGTCATCATTTGCTGCCCTTCTCGCTCGCTCTGCTGCTGCTGCCCCGCGCACGCTACCCTACTGACTGCTCCTAAGGCAAAAGTATGCGTAAATAAGCATTTTACAACAACATGGCCGAACTTGTTGTTGTTGTTGTTGCTGTTGCTCTACCTTGTTTCCATGCAAGGGGTAAGGGGCGTATATTGCAGTTGTGCAAATGAATATAACAGCTAATTTTAAAAGTATATACAAATATTTATTCTTCAAGAGTCGACTCAATCATGCCACGTTCAAATCAGGCTCTAAACTGAACGCAGGATACAAATTTACTTTAACTGACTTTTTGAAATTCAAATTTTCAAAAAACTATACAAAAATAAAACAGTGTTGAGAAGTACAAAATGTTTTAATGTTTATGTTTTAAACGTTAAATTGAGGGTTTTTAGTGTTCACACTTATTTTGTCCAGATAGAAATCATAAACTTGGAGTGTAGTATTTATATACATATTTATATATATATCAGTCGATTTAGGCGTATTTGTCTGTAAAATTGTATGCTTGCCTATGTTTTTCAAAGTATTTTGACCAAACTCAAAAAATAATAATGCCCCGTACCGTGATGTCCTTATGCGTGTTCCAAACAAAAATTTAATATAAATAACTCAAATAACCTATCATATATTAAACTTTCAATAACTATACCAAACAGACTTTATCATGTTTAGGAAGTCGAGAGAGAGAGAGAGAGAGAATGTGTAGAGATATGAAAAACAAAACATTAGCTCGAATATCGTATCGTCTATAACAGTTTACGATATAAAATTACGAGCTCTAGTTGCCAAAATGGACATGTTCTTACATTCATGTTATATAACCTATTGAACCCATTTAAGTTGAGTACAGGGTATTATGAGACATTTTTATAATAATAATAATAATAATAACAATAAAACAATAACTTAAACAGCTAATTACCAAATATATCTGAAAGCAGCTGCTTTCAAGGGTCGCCCGCTGCCAACAACCCTGGACTGGAGCCGGGGGCAAGCATTCCGGAGAAGACGAGTAAGGTCAACAGTGGCGAAGTGTGGCTGCCGCCCACGCGGGTGGCACGTGTTTTCAGGGAGTTGCAGTGCAAAAAATGCTTAATTAATTAATTTCGGCATTGCTGTGCTGCGCTTGCATTTTTCTGTGAATTGTTTATATGTCATTGTAATTGTTTACAACTGTACTTTTGACAAAATTACAGAGCCAATGAAAAAAAATATAAAAAACTTTTCTGTAAAAAGCGACAATAAAAAGCCAAAAAACACAAAAAAAAAAAAAAAAAGAAAAACAAATTTTGCTGAATGCACACAAAATACACAACGGTCGAGGCAGAGGAAGGCAGCGGGAGGGGGGCTAGTTCATGTCATGTTCGCATTCGTATTCGCATTCTGCTGGCCCAAAAAGTGGAATAACAAAAGCACGCGTATTTTCGTCAAAACAATGTCAACATGTGAACAGCAAAAACAACAACAACAATTATAATGCAACTCGTGCCGAGCAAATCTACCATGGAAAGCAACTGCGAGTCGAGCTCTGGTCAAAACTCGACGCACACTTTGGGAAATGCTAATAACTTGCCTGTTTATCGTACGATATTCATACGATATTCGTAGGGCTTAGTTATGTTATCCAAATATGTTAGCGAGACTGGAAGCTGAAACTAAGCAAAAACTTTGTTCAAAATACATAAAATACGCATTAACCCTTAACATAGCATACCATTACATATGTTGTTAACATAAAACATTCCTGTTAAAATAACAGCTGCACCTCTATGTTAAGAAACTTTTTACACCTAATACACACAGTTCTGGCACTTTATGTAGAATTTCCAAATTGACCGAACTTTTGGCAATTCAAATTTCTTTGCAATTTGCCTTGCAGATAAAAGAACTGCGGCAGAAATTTACAAAAAATCGATCCTATTTGAGAGGAGAACTCGTAATAGTTTCCTAAAACTATTTTCTTCAAATAGAAAACAGTTTAATCGAAACCTGAAAAGGCAAAACTAAAGAAGGGTGTGCAGATAGATATTTGTTGTTTTTACTGACAGTAAAAATTAGTTGAAATATTAAAAAAAAAGGCGTTGCCAAGCCCAATTTTTCAAAATATACTCTCCTACATTGCCTTTAACTGTTTTTAAAAAACACAAACCGAAAAGCTGCCTGATTCCTTGAGCTATTGCATTTTTCCAGAAAAACGCCTGGAATACCCCATTGTGCTCCGCAACTCTATTTTTATCATAATAACGGTGAACGTATGGCTCAATAGGTTATGTATGTGTGTGCGTGTGCTAGTTCAGTTGCCTCCTCCGCACCCGTCAAATGGGATGATGTGCACGGGCAAATACGAATGCGAAAAGTGTTACATACAATCAGGCGCGAGGCTTATAAGTAGAGGAAAATGACGAGAGAGCGGGCAAACAGCAAATTGTTGTTGATTTCCGCTTTCCGTGTTGCTTTGATTCCTTTTATTCTCTTCCAGCACATAAATAAACAGAACTGTTTGTGTTCTTTTCAGCAAAATGCAACTCTCGAAAAGTTCAAGCAAACATTTTCTTGCGATGAATTTTTCATATTTTTTATACCCTGAACCCATTAAAAATGGGTATAAGGGTATATTGTATTTGTGCAAAATCCAAATGTATGTAACAGGCAGAAGGAAGCATCTCCGACCCCATAAAGTATATTTATTCTTGATCAGCATCAATAGCCGAGTCGATCTAGCCATGTCCGACTTTCTGTCCGTCCGTCCGTCCGTCCGTATGGTTATTGCGACTTTTTTCTGTAATGCTATTTAAGTTTTTTTTTTATCATATGTGCTCAATTAAAAATTTTGACCCAAATCGACAAAATGGCAATCGAAACTTTTTCAATGATTTTTCCGGGCGGGAGATATGACGTTCCAAAACGACATTTCTCCGCGCGAAGATATGACGTTCCAAAACGACATAACTCCGCGCGGAGATATGACGTTCCAAAACGACGTAACTCCGCGGGGAGATATGACGTTCCAAAACGACATAACTCCGCGCGGAGATATGACGTTCCAAAACGACATAACTCCGCGCGGAGATATGACGTTCCAAAACGACATAGCTCCGCGCGGAGATATGAGCTTCCAAATCATCACGATTTTTTTTCAAAATCGAGGTCGGTGCGAAAATCGAAACTTTTTTGATGGAGATATGACGTTCCAAAACGACATAACTCAAAATCGAGGTCGGTGCGATAATCGAAACTTTTTCGGTGGAGATATGACATTCCAAAACGACATAACTCCGCGCGGAGATATGATCTTCCAAATCATCATGATTTTTTTCAAAATGGAGGTCGGTGCGAAAATCGAAACTTTTTCGATGATTTTTCCGCGCGGAGATATGACGTTCCAAAACGACATAACTCCGCGCGGAGATATGACGTTCCAAAACGACATAACTCAGCGCGGAGATATGACGTTCCAAAACGACATAACTCCCCGCGGATATGATATGACCTTCCAAATCATCACGTTTTTTTTTGAAAATCGAGGTCGCTGCGAAAGTCGAAACTTTTTCGATGATTTTTCCGGGCGGGAGATATGACGTTCCAAAACGACATAACTCCCCGCGGATATGATATGACCTTCCAAATCATCACTTTTTTTTTGAAAATCGAGGTCGGTGCGAAAGTCGAAACTTTTTCGATGATTTTTCCGGACGGGAGATATGACGTTCCAAAACGACATAACTCCCCGCGGATATGATATGACCTTCCAAATCATCCCTTTTTTTTAAAATCGAGGTCGGTTCGATGATTTTTTTTTAATATCTCGGGTAAATAATGTCTGATTTTAAAATGTTATACCTTTTTGAATGCGTACGGATTCCTACCATCAATTGGCATTCAAACAAATTAATCATCGATGGGATGAAAAATGTTGTTGACAAAAAACTGATTCGTTCGTAAATTCCATCTCTTTGATGATTTTTTGGAATATTTCCGTCAAATAATGTCCGATTTGGCAATTTCATTCCATTTTTGACTCGTAAGGATCAGTTCTATCGATTGGCATCAAAAAAAAAATGAAATCAAAAATTTTGACCCAAACCGACAAAATGGCAAGGGGTTACATCACGTTTTTTTTGAAAATCGAGGTCGGTGCGAAAGTCGAAACTTTTTCAATGATTTTTCCGGGCGGGAGATATGACGTTTCAAAACGACATAACTCCCCGCGGATATGATATGACCTTCCAAATCATCACTTTTTTTTCAATATCGAGGTCGGTGCGAAAATCGAAACTTTTTCGATGGAGATATGACGTTCCAAAACGACATAACTCCGCGCGGAGATATGACGTTCCAAAACGACATAGCTCCGCGCGGAGATATGACGTTCCAAAACGACATTACTCCCCGCGGATATGATATGACCTTCCAAATCATCACTTTTTTTTCAATATCGAGGTCGGTGCGAAAATCGAAACTTTTTCGATGGAGATATGACGTTCCAAAACGACATAACTCCGCGCGGAGATATGACGTTCCAAAACGACATAACTCCGCGCGGAGATATGACGTTCCAAAACGACATAACTCCGCGCGGAGATATGACGTTCCAAAACGACATAGCTCCGCGCGGAGATATGACGTTCCAAAACGACATTACTCCCCGCGGATATGATATGACCTTCCAAATCATCACTTTTTTTTCAATATCGAGGTCG